TCAATATGGGCCAACATTTCTAAAGAATGCTTTCAGCACCTTGTTGAATCAATGCCACGTAGAATTAAGGCAGTTCTGAAGGCGAAAGGGGGTCAAACACCGTATTAGTATGGTGTTCCTAATAATCCTTTAGGTGAGTGTACTTAACCAAGGTAAATTTATTAGGTAATGATATTTCTAATATCTGATAATTTTATAGTTTTTTAGCTGATGATTTTTTTAGCTGAGGATATGATGTTTATACTTAAGCACCAAAGCTTACCCTCTGGTGTTATTTTTTTATTTCAGTGAAATGAATGGACTATATTTTAGTTCGATCATGTTTCGAACAAGTGGAGAGCCCAAATTACACCTTATTCCTGAATCTTGCCTCACCTTTTTGTTCATGTTTTCTTTTTGCTTGTACTGTAGGTGTAGTACAGTATTACAGATTTTATGTTACTAAATTATATTTATGGTATAGTTATGATCCATTTATTACCTGTCAACTTAAAATGTTGTAAACCTTGAGTTCGGCCTCTTCTTGGCAGATTATTGCTAAAGTGAATTTTTTTTTTTTTTCATATGAAATTTTCCAAAACAAACAAGTTTTACTCTAAAACTGTGAGAAGATCAAAGCCATAAATCTAAACAAGTTGTGTTCCAAATTTGAGGTTAATATCTAAAAAAAAATTCAGTGACATTTTGTTTGTGCGCAGAAACCAAACGCTTCCACTAGATGAAATTCGCTACCCATTCGTTTCCAATGAGGTCATTTAACCATTTCGAATATTTTCCTTTTTTTTTTTTTTTTCACACAGCAAGTGCCAAAACCTTTGCCAAGTTTTGTGCCTTTCCGACGAAGTAAAAAATCCTTAAAAACCAAAAAGTTTTTTTTTCTTTTTGATCGAACAGCACCAGAGGGTTGAGACAGGAATTCTTGGAACCAGTTTATATTTGAGGTGGTGTGTTCTCTAAGTTATTAACTTTGTATTCATGTGGAGTGCTTTGTGTGTGTGCACATTTGAAGGCCATGAGCACTTGTGCTGCACTGTATATTGTGGTGATCGTAGCTCCTGTCCAGTTTGACCACAGATTTCATCTTAAAGGGTTAGTTCACCCAAAAATGAAAATTCCGTCAGTAATTACGCACCCTCATGTTGTTCCAACCCCGTAAGACTTTCGTTCATCTTCGGAACACAAATTAAGATATTTTTGATTAAATCTGAGAGCTGGATCACTCCTCCATAGACTTCTATGGGATTGAAACTTGCCGGCCCAGAAAAGTTATTAAAGACATCGTTAAAATAGTCCAAGTGACCACAGTGGCTCAATCTTAAGTTTATCAAGCGATGAGAATACTTTTTGTGCGCAAAAACAAACAAAAATAACGACTTTATTGTGAACTATCCCTTTAACTAAACTTGGACTGAGTGTCTGCGAATCACTTTGAGGTTCCACACTTTTGCCTCTTCTTCTGATTTCAGCCCAATCCGCCAGCTTTTCCTCTGCATCAGCTTTTTTTTAACTCTCTTACTGTGGGCGCAAATGCCAGCCAGCGCTCCACAAAGCCAAACACCGGAGCCGCACGCCTGTGGCTTTGAGAAATGCAGGTGTGCTGCCCAGGTCTTTAGAGAGATGTTTTCTTTCCACATAGTTCATCCCAAAAACAGCACATCAGTTGTGGGTAAATATCCTGCTGGTTCCAGCGTACGCCAGCACTTCAAAGCAGCGAGAGCTTCCTGAGAAGAACTTGGGGGGAGCCAGGGGTTAAATCAGTTTGGTTGCCGTCTACTTTAATGACTTTCCTTTCCCATAAAGTTGCTTCTGCACTTCAAGCATCAGGAAATTGCTTAAGTCTTAACCTAAATAAACCATAACATTTTCATTCTATACTGAAGATGTCATGTTTGGGTTCTGCACAACTCGTTCTGGTTGACCAGTAGTGGGAATTTTGGTCATTGGTAGTGACTGTGATGTTGCAAAAAAAGGACGGAATAAAGACTTAATCCGGCCAATCAAATGAATGGTTTTTGTCACCTGAGGGTGATTATGGGATCAGGTTGGCTAAGTTTGAACCCCAGAATAAGGAAGTGTCCACTCAGGCAGAACCAGAGACTCCTTCTGAGGTCCTAATTTACTCACCAGGGGCTGAATTCATTCCCTCATCTCTTAATTAAGACTTGGAGAAAGACAGATGACAGGGATGGTTACAGATAGTTTTCTAGACCAGGGTTTTTCAAACATTTTTGTTAAGGAAAATTCCCTCTTTCCTAAAGATTAATGGCAGCTATATATTTTCTGCACTCTCAGAAAAAAGGTACAAAAGTGGTCACTGGGGAGGTACCCTTTCAAAATGTACATATTTGTACCTTATTACCCCTAGAGTGCATAATTGTACCTTACATAAGTACCTAAATGGTACATATTAATACCTTTTGAAAGGGGACCGTCCTAGTGGCAACTTTTGTACCATGTTTTCTGAGAGTGTTCATTCAATTAAAAACAATTTATTTAAATATTAAAGGGGAACTTGGCAACTCTTGCCATTTCTTCGCTGATTTTCACTTTTGTTGTTGCATGTTTTCTCATCGAGCTCCCCCTACAGCTGTGCGGCGTATATTTTCACAACACAGCTAACCGAGGTGGGTAATACGTCATACACAGTATCATAGAATTATGTCGAATTGCCATAAAGCAGTTTGTGTTTCTCGCTCGTTCTCGCTTCTCACGAGACTTCCTATTTTCAACTTACCGGGACGTTGGTCCCGATGGTTTTCCGCCTGGGAACCCTGGGGGGAGCGGGGAAAGTCACCATTCTCTCCAGAACAGGTATTTGAACCATTCAAATGATTTCTAAATGGTTTTATTAAGTTAAAATAGTTGCCAAGTTCCCCTTCAAAATTGATCAACAAAATTTAGGGTTAGTTAACAAAATTTGTTTATTGACTTTAATTTGACCTATTTGAATTTCATTGTACTAAATCAAATATTTTTCTAAATATCTTTTCACAAAACTTGTGCTGATTATGATTTATGATGACCAGTCTCTTAGACTTCCTAAAATCCCTTTGTAGCCACCAAACCCCAGTTTGAAAATGCCTGTTCTATACTCGCCATTTATTTCTCCATGTGTGTTTTCCGCATCTTTAGATAATTTAAGCATGTTATGACCCTTCTATCAAATTAACTTTTTTATTTTATAGTATTTATAATAAAATAGTCTTTTATTAGAATCGTTCTTTTTATGTCATGTATGTTTGTTATTCAAGGGCCTTTTAGTTAATTCTTTCTCTGCCAACTTCTGTATCATTAGCTGATTCCTGCTGAGTTAATGGAGCCTTAAAACTCTTTAATCTCTCTCTCTTGCTTAATAAAGAATGTTTATTTTACATTTGCTTTTTTTAAAAGATAAATCTTGAATTATAACCTGTAATTATTTTATAGTCAATATATGGCCACATTCTGAAACTATTTTGATATGCATTCATATTTAGCTGTTAACAAATACTTTTATCTACCAATCAAAATTTCAATTAGTAATGCTGCCATTACGGTTTCTTTTTTCTTCTTCTTTTTATTAAAGGTCAATATGTTTCCATCATCCCTAAGGCATGTCTTGTCAGCAGTGGATTTGTGATCATGTCACATGTACATGTATATGTGTCTTTAAAATCTGACCACTGTTATTTACACCATCCTACGTGGCAGGTGCTTGTGGTTTTTACTTGTATTTGATGACCTGATGTAGACGAGGTCTGTCTGCCCACACAGCTATTGAAACTCAATCTCAGATAGTTCTTCAATAATGTCCCGTGAGTCACAGTAGTGACCTGAGTCTCTAAAGTACATAGCGGACGTCTGTACAGCATGGAAATGGAATGAAGCTTCCTCACAGGCCTAACATCAGTCATCATGAACAGACAGTCTGCATAGCTCACTTTTTCCATTGCTGTGGGTTTCTCTTTCTTTAACAAAGTTAATAGTTAATAGACTCAACAAAATGTATTAGTTTACATTACAAATCATGCAGCAAAAGTGTTTTGAGATATTGTGCAAGGAACTGTGTGAAAATAAGTCTATATGATTACAGGCCAGGGCAGATTACTGATTAATAAATAAATAAGTTGTTTTGTTTGTTTTTTTTCAGCTGGAAAGTGCAATGAGTTGTGTATATATAAGTGTTTGGCGTTTTGTAAAAATGTAGTTTGAGGCACGCTATTCTAAAAAGCCTATGATGGGGAGGAGGGTTACAACATGTTCTCAAACACTGTAACACTGAGGGATGTTTTTACAGAGTGAAAATGGCTATGAAAACATTTTCCCATGTAGCATAATAAATGAAAGCGGCAGTGGTTCTTTTTTAAACCTGGAATCTGTCATTTAATTACCTATGGAAACAGTAATTTCATAATGTTGTGTATAACGAGTGACAATGAATTGGAATCTTTCAGAATAATGTGTCTATTGAGTGAGTTTCCCATTTAGGAAAGTTTGCTTGGAAGTCATTTCGAAATGTATGCAATGGAAAATGCAGAAAAGCATTATTCCACTTGTGTGTTAAAATACAGCTTTACAGCATGTCATGTTATTTAAAAGATTCTTGTTTTTGTTTTCATGTGCATAAGTTCATATAGACTGTTGGGAATACAATGCCCACTCAAGGCCTAGACTGGTGGGTGCATGGGGTTCAATGCTGCTTTAACTGACTTAACCCTTCTGGGACCCAAAGCACGTGGTGCATCCTGAGTAATTATGTTTCAGCCATGAAGAGAGTGCAAGAGCTTTCTGAGGTTCAGGTTTCATTATACTATCTTTTCGCCTTCCAGATCTCTCCAATGCACAAGGCAAAGCCTCAGTAACACTAAATCCCACAACTGCTGTGTATTAAGTTGCATGAATGCATGTGACTGGTCATATTGGTGCAAGGCAGGTTTATTTGATGTTTTTATTGTGTCACTAATGTTATTTGTGCAACTTCTGTCTAACAAGTGCTGTTACTTTGTTCTCTTTTATTGTAGATGTGGACCTGTCGGTGTGCAAGCACGCTGGGCCATCATGCTGTACGCGAAGAATGGAAGAGAGCTACAGAGCGGCAGTCCTGAGAGACACCACCCAGAACATCAGATCATACAGCTTTGAGCTGAAATATCTCATTTCTGCACATGCCACCGCCTTCCAGGGTATATGGATGCATGCATGCATGGATGGATGGATGGATGATGGATAGATGGATGGTAGAGGGATTAATGGATGATAGATAAGTGAAATGGATGGATAAATAAATACTGTAGATGGATACAGGAATGGATTGATAGATAAATGGATGAATATGGATAGAGCAACATAAGCTCATTGGAAAAATGTACTTATACATACAATTCACTGCAGTTTCAAGTTGAAATGAACACTAGCGGCAGCGGCAGTAAAACCTTTTTCATGAAAAATGATTACGGGGGTTGATTATTGATTGTTAAAGACACATGGCCAGATTTACTAAACAGAGCAAATTAACGTGAGAGCGCAATTCCATGAAAGCACAGATGGGAGTGGAAAGGTCTGCGCGTGATCTACTAATGACACGCAAATGAATGAACACAGACGCAGCGGGATCATTTCCATAATGACCGACTCAATATACTAAGAGCAGCACTATAGTATTATCGTAGAGTCGCAAACAAGCAGAGCCGCTGATAGTCAGGTGCAGATGATCTACTAACATCACAGACGCAAAATGGGTTAAGACATTCTTTTTTTGGACGTTAGGAAATGGCACACATACCAGTAAATTGACTAGCTTAAACCTTAGTAAATCTCATTAATTTAAATACTCTCCTCTCATAAATGTTGTGTCTGAAAGGGAAACTCCTACCAATGCAAATGCAATAAATTCAGCCGCAAAAATAACTGTCCAGGCCTTTTCAGCGCACATTTTTCACTGCGTGTCTTTAGTAAATCCTGACAGTAGTTTTTTAACGCCAAAAATGAACCTGGATTTGGATGGATGCATGGCAAATTTACGGGTTAACCGTTTCTGTGTACCTCTTTGTTGACCGTAGTTTGACTTGTTTAATTGGTAGAAATGGCATAGTGTTTTTTCCCCCATGTGGTTTGGCATATTGTAAATTGGTAGAGACACTTAAGAGTTTCATCTTTGGCACTGGTTGTATATGAACAGAAAGCCTCTTCTCATCGTCTTGATTAAAGCCCCAGATGTGTCTTTTAGGAAAATATGAACTAGCTGCAAACATTCAGAAGCATTTAAAGTCTTAAATTAATTATGTTAGATTGTGCTCTATGAAGTCTAGTTATATGAGGTTTGGTTGGGTTTTACTGCATTCATTCTTTAGAAGGGGAATTCAAAGTACTTGCCCACACTCTCACGAGTGTCGAACCCAGTGGCCAAACCATAATCGGCAGTGGGGCTTTAAAGAATCTCAGTCGTATGCAGCCTTGTGTGCTTTGGCAGAGAGCACCGGTTGTTATTAAGGTCTTCTGTCAGTTCATTCATGAGTATCAAGCTTTGGTGTGAATGAATGAGCTCTCACATACACTATTTCAGTCCTGCACACGCGATACACTAATTTTAACACGATCTGCGGCCACAGTAACTCCACAGAAATGGACACATACTCTTACACATTCTACATCTCACAAGAAGGGTACAAACCACATACATAGTTTTCGGTTATGCTCTTCAATCATCCCTTTGTCTTTCCCAGCCCGTTTTCTTTTGGCAACGTATCCACAAGACGTATCCAGATTGTTCACTGCATTCCACTGATGGGTTTCTAACGCTTGTGTCTCGAATGCGGAGATATGCGTAGAAGGTTTCGCCGTCGACAGGTCACATGCAGTAGGAATGTTCAAACAATGGAGCTGATCGCCTTTTATGGCTGCTGATGTGTGTGTGTGTGGTGTCTGTTTGAAAGACTGAGAAATCTATAGTCTCTATAGTGATTTATAGATTCTCAATCATTGTTCTTTAGTTTCTGCATGGATCAGGGTTAGTGAGGAAGATTGGTTGTGCCTAACGTTTAACAAAAACTATTGTATAGACATTCATTCACTTTCAATAGTTAAACCCTCAAGCTTTTATTTTGACAGAAAACTGCAGGAAGACCTTTAAGTTTTGGTGACAACAGGTTTACAATTGTTTTTTATTATCTGTCCACAAAAAAGTTTGAAATTTTATGCAAATGTGAAACTTTGCTTACCCAAATGCATGTTGAATTCAGAGCACATGCAGAGATGGAGCATTTACTGAGAACCTCTGAAAGCAGGCCCGGTTCTAGAACCAAATCACTGAGGGTGCAAATAGTGAGGGTGCTCAAAATAGGGCTGAGCGATACCTATTGTCTCCGACAATATTGAAATTGCTGTTATGTTAAACGATATGCGATCTGCATGATCGAGTAGCCTATGTCCCTGTACGAGTTTTTGTCCTTTACATTTATATCATATGATATAGTTAAGAAATGTTACAGAGTGCTTTTCCCCCAAATATCAGCAGTATTGCAAATGTTTGAAGTATTGGAACTGATTTTATTCTGCAGTTGAATAAAGAAATGAATATAAGTAACTTACATTTTAGACATTTAGTTTCTGACGACAATGAATCAGTCCTTTTAAACGAAACAGCTGATTTAAAGATTACATGACTCACTCATTTAAGACAGTCAAATGCTAGGTCACTCGGCGGCGGCGGCGCCATCGTCCGTGGCACTTGCTGGGATTTATCGCCAGTGTTTGAATGGGTGTCATGCGGTGAGAGCGAGGTTGTAGGGTGGGGTTCGCTGCTGTCATCGCGGTGTCATTTTGTCTTGTTGTGATGTAGAGGTTTGAGCTTTCTTGAGCCAATTTCGTATGCCCATGATTAAAAATGGACAATTCATATTTTAAGGCTACCTAAAGGCAGCCCCGTGTCAGAAAGTCAGCTAACGAATTTCCTGAGCGGGATGCACACACGCAAGCAAAGTGGGCAATTAAAGAGACAGCTTCACCTATGCGTATCATGATCGCGAAAGGACACAGCCAATCCAATGCATTAAACATGTTACATGAAAGCATAATGAAATAATTTCTGATTTGAAAAATCGAGTTAATGGATTTATTTTGTGTATTATATGTAGGCTGCCTATGAGTGTGAAATCCGTCTGTGTTTCTTTTGTTGGCAAAATCTCGTTTACATGTGTGCTAATAAAAATTTAATCTGAGGGTGCTTTCACTTTTGTTTGAAGCACCCCCGTAGAACCGGGAAACACCGGATCATAAGATGCTCGACTTAAAGGGATAGTTCACCCAAGAATTAACATTTCAACATTTCTGAGTCATCATTTACTCTAGCTCATAATGTTGTTTCAAAACTCTATGACTTTGAAACTACACAAGGGTGAGTAAATGACTCATAACGTCTATAAATTTAAAAATCTATAATTTCTTTAGAAGATATATATTTTTTAAATGTCTCAGTGTTTGCTTGTATACAAGGGATAGTTCACCCAAAAAAGAAAATTCTGTCATCATTTACTCTAGTTATTCCAAACCTGTATGAATTTCTTTCTTCTGGAGATATTTTGAAGAATATGGGTAACCAAACAGTTGATGGGCCCCATTAACTCCCATAGTATGGGAAAAAAATATTCTTTTGTGTTCAGCAGAAGAGAGAAATGTATACAGGTTTGGTACAACTTGAGGGATGACAGAATTTTCATTTTTAGGTGAACTACCCCAAGTCAATGGGGTCCAATGTTGTCTTCTTTTGTTTTCTGCAGAAGAAAAAGTCATACATATTTTTGAAATGACATGAGGGTGAGTAAATAATGACACATTTTGGGTGATCTATCCCTTTAAGAATAATGTATAATATGTATATATTGCCACATATTTGCAATGATTGTGAGAATTTTTTTCTGTAAACAATACAAGAGACTGCGAGAGACAATGTCTCCATCCTGGATTAATAATTAGCCTGTGGTGTACAGACATCTTATCTGATTACAGACTTAATGTAAAACTTAATTAGAATGATGATTTTAGGTTTTTCATCACTACTATAAGAGTATAGTTAGAAGGCATGTGTTTGTTTAGGTTTCTGTCGGTGTGTGTGTGTGAATCTGTCTCCTCATTTGTGTGGGATCTCATTTAAGGAAGTTCAGTAGACAGTTGATTATAATTATCTGGCTTCATCGTGACAGTGGGTATGTTTGTGGTAATAAAGGATTTAAGGAGTTATTAAGGATAATGTGTGCTCTGATCATCTCAGACTAAGAAGGAATCACAGAATTGAAGAGAAACTGGTAAAGGGATGTTGAGTCACTGTCCGTGAGAAAAAGTTTTAATCGACAAAGGCTTTGTTTGGAATGTTGATTAAATGACCCTGTCTTTGTTTTATTCCTCTCTGCTAAACTTGGATTAGAGGCCATATTTGGAATGAAATACTGTATGGTTATGTAAGTTGTAGAGTTTTAACATTAGCATCTAAATTTCCCATATTTTGTCCACTGAAACTTTTCCTTACAGCCTTGAATTAATTTGTCAAATTAAACATGCCATCTTCTTGGGTCGGGTATGACCAGAATCTTGTTTTTTAATACCAGTAATTTTTTTTTATCACAGTAACTATATATCATGATATGGTTATGTTTTGCAGATATTTCTAACTAAAATGTATTCTTACTATTATGTGGTAATTTATTTTTAATGATCCAGTGAATTAATTACTTAACAATCGAAAGATACTTATCAGGGTTATTATCGTCGAGTTGAAATAAAATTAAATCTAAATATTAGTTGAAAAACTTAAACTAATTGAAATTTAGAAATGTTACCTTGGCGATAAACTGAAATAAGTTTAATTTGAAGCACTAAAATTAAGTAAAAATTCATTATAAAACTAGCCAAAACTTATTCTGAAATAAAATAAATTGAACCTAAATAGAAATCTAAAAAACAAACAGCTAATAAAATGACAAAAGTACATAGGGAAATTAGCATAACTCAAAATATAAAAATATAAGCTAGTAAAAAATGTAAAATAAAACTGTAATAAAAAAAACTAAATTAACACTGATAGGCTACTTATGTAAATATCTGAATTTCTTTTTTTTTATTCCCCTAGTCTAGTGTGTACCCTGAATATGGTTCATACTGTATACTTTTATTATACATTACTGTATATTTA